AAGAAGACAACAAAAAGACAAAATCACAAAAAAGAATACAAAAAAAATGATTATATTAGGGAATAGGGGTGCCATAAGTAAAAAGGAGGGGTGCCATTAGCCTCCCCCTTTCTTTCCCACACAATGACTTTTATTAATTTTAATTTCAACCAAACAACAGATAAAAGTATTCTTTTAATTATATATAAATGGGGTTTTAAGAATCAGATATATACAAATTTGACATGTTTTAATAAATAAATTATGAAATAACTGTTTCTTTCAATAAAGAGTCCTCACATTTACAAATCAATCTATATAAACCTGTTCTATTTAGAATGAACATAAATGACTGATAACTGCTCTCTAATCTGTATAGTGAACTTTTTCTTTACAGCAAGTATTCAAACAACTTAAATTTGTAACATCGTTACTTTACTTCTTTTAGAAACGCTTAGGTCATACTTTATTTTTTAAGAAAAACTTCCTATTAACTACCTGTATTTTATCAAATAAGATATTAAACTTATGATTTTTTTTTTCCTGTGGCAAGAGCTTAAAACCTCTTAAATATTGTTTATCAAACGTTTACCAATAAGAATCATCACCGTTACTTACTTTTATGGTACGATATGACGGAGCCACCCTCAAGATTCTGTTAAGGGGTCTTATAGAACTGGGATCATATGAGAACAAAGGTTTTTCGTGAGACCCGTAAGACCAATTCTCAATCCTTGGATTAGATCTACAATCTGAACATTCATAATCACAAAATTGCCACGAGACTTCTTAATAATCACAAAATTGTCACCGTACAACTTTACACCATTAAATCAGTAGCTTATAAAGTTGATCAATGAACATAAATTGGTCTTACGGATCTCACGAGAAACCCTTGGTCTCACATGAACCCAACCCGGATCTTATATTTTGTAACTTTAATTTGTTAAATTTATTATGTACTTTATAAATACTATTTTAAGGAATTTCTATGAGAAATTTATGCATGCATATTAAATTAAATATTTGGGATGGATTTAATTAAAAGTTTGTTGTTGAATTTGTGGATGTATCACTTTTATAAAGTAATTGTATATATTTATTTTTAATTTATTTATATATTTTGTTTAGGTATTTACATAATTATATCAAAGAGGATCACCTAAGACAAAAAAATCTTGGTTCCGCCCTGCCTATTGAATTACATTTTTTGTCATCAAAATGGATTGTTGGTAAGTTGTCTTTACCTGATAAGCTCTCATTGCATAAGAGTTTTCTACCGATAGGGGTGTTCATGGGTTGGGTTGACCGGGTTGAAGACATTTGAACAACCCAACCCAAACCAAAGTGTAACCCAACCCAACCCGTATGGGTTGGTCGGGTAGATACTTTGGTACATTAAAATATCATGCTTACCTTGAATATGTTATTTTTCTACTCATAATTTCTTTTTCATCATCAACCATTTGATACAACTTATCCATATTTCTTACGTATATCACATTCAGTTAATTTTCTCAATTTACATATATATGTTCACAGTTACTGAACATATATATGAATTAGTTATATAGAGATGTGAATAGATTAAAAATATGTGTATATGAAAAGCATACATGATAGTGTAATTGTCTAATGTATATATTAACATAAATTCAACAATCATATTAAATCCAAGAAATAAAAGAATATCGGGTTTCATCGGGTTGGGTTGGGTTCAAATAATAGTAACCCAATATCAACCCAATACCTACGGTTTGACAATTTTACAACTCGATTAGACATCGGGTTGCTTCGGGTTGGGTTATTTCGCGTTGGGTTGGGTTGAACGGGTTGGTCAGGTTTAGGGATGGGAATGGACCCCGACCCGTCGGGTAACCCGGTCCTCCCGCCCCGGTCGGGGACGGGGATTCCCTGAAAAATCGGGTCTCGGGGACGGGGACGGGGACGGGTATAGCACTCCCCGCCCAGCCCCGTACCCGTTTTTTTTATATATATATTTTTTATGAATTTGGGCTTTGGGCTTTGGGCTTTGGGCTGTGAAATAAAAAAAGTAAATGCATCTTCTCCTTCCTCCATTCCAGTCCATGAGTACGAATTCACAATTTCAATTTCCTAATCCTATTTCTTCCCGGTT